GAAAAATCAAAACAGCAAATTTCTTGTACTCATCAAAAATGAGCTTTCTGGGACCACTCAACAAATCTGCACACCTAGCCCTTTACCCCCATTCCTGAAAATCCTCAACCGCCTATAAATCCCCTAGACAACTCACCACCACGGACTCTCTTGTCCCCTCCTGGCCTGAGCCAGGAGCTCTGTCCTCTCACTTTATCTCTAAATAAAAGCCTGTCCCTTGCTCTCCCACCTCGAGTGTTTGTGAAGCTCATTCTTTGGCTTTGTGAACAAGAACCTTGATATCAGTTTTACTCCTGCTTTGACTTCACTTGGTTTTCTCTGGACAGCCCTTGCCTGCTGGTTAGGAAGGCTTAGCTGTTTCAGAGCTCAGGCTTTGCTCTTTTCAATTGTTAAAATAAGTAGCGATATTGGGTGGGTGGGTGGGTGAAAGGCTGTAGAAAATTCAGGAAGGAATCACACCTTAGAGCTCAGCCAGGATTCCAGACTAGGAGGGGGTGTGACTTGGGGTCTCAGGGTAAGATTCAGGGACCCTTCTGACACGTGGAGTTTTCCCACCACCATCAAGCAATTCTCTGACACCAGCAGGGTGTCCTACTCTTCAGCTCAGTTCTGACATGTACCCTGAGATGGCATCAGGTCCCCCAGGTCAGGGGCCAGCCCCACAAGACTGCCCCAACTTGCTGATGTAAATAGCAAGTCTAGGGTGTCACCTGTGCTCATGGCCCACGGGCTGTAGACTGGAGGTGCCAAAGCCTCCTTCCTCAGGTTCCTTTAGCTGAATCAGCTAAGTTTGCTGGGGTGGCTCTCAGAACTCAGAGAAACATTTTACTTCACTAGGTTACTGGTTTATTACAAAAGGATGTAACTCAGGAAGAGCAAGATGAAAGGGAAGCATGGGGCAAGATGGGGAGAGGGTGTGCGGCTTCCAGGCCAGCTCTGAATGGCCACTCTCCCTGAACCTCTACATGGTCACAAACCCAGAAGCTCTCCTATCCCTGCTTTTTCTTTCCTAATGGAGGTTGTCATTATATAGGCATGATTGATTACATTATTGACCATTGGCGATTGATTCAACCTCCAAACCCTCTCCCCTCCCTGGCAGTTGGGGGTGTGGGACTGAAAGTTCCAACTCTCTATAATCACACGGGTGGGCTCCCCTGCCAACCAGCCCCCATCCTTAGGTGGGGCCCCAAAGCCACTTCATTAACATAACAAAAGACCCATTTAGCATTCTCATCAGTTAGGAAATTCTGAGGGTGTGTGGAGCTCAGCATCAGAAACAGGGACAAAGACCAAATATACATATTTCTTCTTAAAAATTACAATATCACACAGGGTTACAAACCAAATGTCACATGCACTGCTTGACACAGCGTTTTAACTATACTTGTTAATTTAAAATTACTTGCCATACCACATAAATCAGAGTGTTTTGCATAAAAATCCCAACTTTGGGCTTCTCTTGAAAAATCGAGTGCATTGGCAACACTGGGACCTGCCTACTCCCATGGAGACAACAGGCGAGGACTAACCCCAGGGAGGTCAGATTTGGGTAAGGACCACCACAGCCTCAGCCATCAGAGGAGTGTGGGTAAAATTGTATTATTTCCAGAATATATCACCTAGCTTTAGTGCATCCTCACAGGTGGAGAAAAGTATGGCTTTGGTTCATCTGCATATCAGTAGGCGTTCCTCAGGGGTGGATAAAGGTTCATCTCCATATCAATGGGTAGTTACCTGGGCAACTGAGGGCTTATGTGAACCTGAGAGGGGAGGGCTGGTTGGCTTCTGCTGGAGCAGGAGAGAGAAATGGCCCTGGACTGCAGTTTGTAAGCAATAAATGGGTTTTAAACTTTATTTCTCCCTTTGACTGATTTCGGTTTTAGAAGTATTTTGCCTCTTCCTGGACTTATAAGGAGCAAGAACTCATTGCTGTTACATTCTCTCCCATTTTATTGAGATGTAATTTGCATTCAATCAAATGCACAAATCTTAATCATTCAGTCCAATGGGCTTGAACGATTGCATATACCCAAATGATTATCACCCAAGTTAAGATACAGACATTTCCATCATCCCAGAAAGTGCCCCTGGTCCCCTTCTTGTCATTTCCTATCTCCCATTCTGTGATTTGTCACCTGTCTCCTTTCTGGAACCTCACAGAAATGGAATTGTCAGGTATGTACTCCTTCGTGTCTGGCTTCTTTGGCTCAGCATGATGTTTCTGAGATTCATCCATGGCATTTGTTCCTCCTGAAGATTACTATACTTTCTGTGGGGTATGAAGGCAGCAGCAATGGTTTGTCTGTGCACCTGTCAATGGATGTGGGGTTGTTTCCACATTGGTGCTATGATGAGCAAGGCTGTGTGCAATGCACATTTGTGTACAAGTCTTGGGGGGAACATAAGTTTTCATTTCTCTTGATAAATACCTAAGAATGGAATTGATGGCCTGTAGTGTAGGAGTATGTTAACTTTGTAAGAAATCTTCAAAAAGTTCTCCAAAGTGGCTGTGCCATGCTCTCTCCTATTCTTCACAGCACTGAGGTAGGGCAGGGACCTGGGATGAACTTTTCCTGCCTATGATGAAAAGTGCTGAGATGTAAACAGTATGGTAAGAACAGGAGGGACCCCATCTTAAGGCTGAGATTCCATTTTAATAAGCAGAGAGTTGAGAAGTAAGATTCCTAACATAGTCTCTGGTAATCAGACAATAACCCAGCAGCCTACCTTCAGGCAGGGCAAGCAGCCTTAACTGATACATCCCCACTGCTTGAGGGTAGCCACTACCTTGGAGAAGAACAGGATAAACAAATCCCTTGTGTTGGGTTATCTAGCAGAATCAGCTGGAGGACTGACAATAAAGGAAAGGAGACACAGTGTCTTTCACCAAAGATAAGCACCTTGAGACCACAAGTACCTTGAGATAAGTCAAGCCTACGCCCAACAACTCCCTTCTGAAAGGCTGTTTTTTGCCCCATTCTTCAAAGCCTTAGAAGACAGGGTCCCCAGCCTTTCAGTGCGCCTCCTCTCTGAGGACGCTTCACTTTCCTTTCCTTAAGTGCATACTTTCAAATACAGCTGCCTCACTGCTCACATTATTTCAGTTTGTCTCTTTGTTATTTTGTTTCCAAGCTTTCACTCTGTCTCCACTTTGCTCCTAATAAGTAGGAAGGGGCTGCTAAGAGCTCAGATTTGGGCCTGAGTGTTTCCATTGCCTGGGTGACCCAGACAGAACTGCTGCTGTGTGTGTGATCTGCTCTTAGTAGCCTACCTGAAAATCTCCTTTCTTTGGGAAGTTCTCAGAACATAATCTCACTCCATCCTGTGCTCCGCGGCTCCCCCAAATCCTGGGGTGGCTGGGATTAGACCCCATGCTGTGCCTATCCAAGCAGACACCGGACAGACGCCAGGTGACCCTGGTGGTGAGAGGATCTGCCGGAGGCTGAGGACTTCCCCTCTTTCCCTCTGCACTCCTGCTCTCTGCTGCCTGCAGGGCAGCTGCCATTCCCCACTGCTCTCGCTTTAATGAATTCCTCCCTTACCTACACTCGTCTGACCTGCTCGAGAATTCTTTCTCACGCAGTCAAGAACCCTTCCCTGTACAGGCTGAGGTTTCTCCTAGTGCTTCACCTAGTGAGCGGGGAGAGACCCCGCAGATTCTGCCCAGCAACAGCACCATGAGGGTAGAAACCCCTGACAGAGAACCTGTCAGAGGTTATAAGCCAGTGGTCACTGGGCCACATCTGGCCCTCACAGATTAATAATCATGAGACTTTGTACAAAATTCTGGACTTCTTATTTTTCTAGAACAATTGGAAGGTCCAATCCCACTGGGCCTGTGTCCCCACGGTTAGAGCTGAGTCATGGCTGCCCCTTTCAGCTGGGACATGTGCACTCTAGTCACCCACAGCCCCACCTGCCTGTCTCACTCACCAACATGCCTCCTCTCCAAGCACTGTGACCCTGGAAACATGCCCGTGGCCCCCTGGACATGCCCCGAGCAGTCAGGCCCAGACCTCCAGTTGGCGGAACACTGTACCCTCCATGTCACCCTGCTGCCTCCCAGGTATCGTTGCAGTCTTGTGCCATCTGTTTCCTGACCCAAGGTCTGTCCCCCTTCTCCAATCCCAGCTACTCCTTCTGTACATCTATGCCCTCAACCCCGGCCCTGGGCAGGCCACTACCCTGTGGGCCCTTGTTCATGCTGTTATCAGTCCAAATGCTGGTCTTCCACATCTGGGCCCCCCTTCTTCCAGAGGGACGCATCTCTCAGCCACCCTCCATGGCTCCTCTGGGTTCTAATCCTGCCTTTGCCTCATACAGCTGGGTTGCTTGGGGCAGTTCCCCACCCTGTGTCCTCATCAGTAAAATGGGGATAGTCATAGCATCCGTCTTAGAGGTCCGTCAGGAAGACCAATGAGCTCAGACAGAAGTGGAAGCCCTCAGAGCAGAGTTTGGTACATATTCATTATCACTGTTTGGTGCCAAGGCTGCACCCCAGGGCCCAGGCTGACCGAATGAAGTAAAGACGTTGGGTCTGCAGTGAGAGGGGGTGGCCATGCCTCTGCTCCAGCCCTGGGCTGTCCTGTGGCCATGTGGGCCTGCTGTGGCCAGACTTTTAGAATGTTCTAGTAACTAAACAGTGTTTTGTGTGCTTTAAGCCTCCAGGGAAAGCCTTCCACTGTCTCCCACGCCTGCCCTGGGGTGGTGAGCCAGACTTGGCTCCTGGCTGTGGGTCGGTCACTCCTGACAGCTCCTCTGGGCTCCAGACCCTGGAGTCCACCTTGCCCTGCCATGGTCTGGAAGGCACACAGGAAAAGGGGCTGAACAAAGAGTGGTCACTATTCCTGCTGCAGCAGCGGCAAGGCCACGTCAGCCAGCGAGTGCCCTCCTGGGACTCTCCCTCTGCCCCTGCCTCCCTGCCAGTGTCTCCCCTCCCCCTTCCCCCAGCTCATCCCCAGCCCGCCCCGCTGGCACGGAGGCGGGCCAGTGGAGGAGTGGTGAGTGGAGTAGGACCGTGCCCCTGGCTCCTGAGGCCCCCTCTCCCTCCCTGCCATGGGCCTCTGAGCAGGTGAGGGCCCTGATGGGGGCCATGTGGGGGAGCTCAGGGCATGCCATCTGCCCCACAGGGGCATGCTCAGAGTTCAAGTTCAAGGGTTCAGGGCTGGGCTCAGCCTCTCTTCTGCTCCTGGGGAGATCATTCATGCTTCCTCTAATCCGTGCTGCAACTGAGACTGGAATTTGGAGTTTGACCAGTGAGGAGGCTGTCAGCACCATGCCGTGCAGGAGGTAGGGCCACCACCGTCCTCTGGCTGCGAGGCAAGAGGGGCCCAGGAGTCTCCCTTCTCCGAGCCATCTCTACCTACTGCTGCCTTGAAGCCATCGACGGGCTCCAGGGCAGGTAGGCCCTGTATCCAGGGGAAGGTAAGACTCCCTACCTCCACCCCAACCTGACACCCATTCTCCAAACTGGGAAAGCTGGTCTGGTGCCAGCAGGAAGGACTCCAGCTGTGAGCCATGGTGGGGGTCTAGGGTGACACCAGGCACATGGTGTGTTTTGGGGGGTTGGATACAGCCAGTGGCACCAGTGTGATCCCAGCTCTTCCACTTAGTAAGTTCAGGACATTGGCTGATCATTTTGCCTCCTTGAGCCTTAAGCTCCTTATCTGCCAAATGGGAACATGAATCTCAGCCCAGCCCAGCTCCCAGGTGTGGTGTACTCACATGGACCCAAAGAGATAACTTAATGAAAATATCTGTACAAACAGCAAAAAACTAGAGGGACATATCAGCATGACTGCAGTGGCTGTCACAACATGCAGGGGTATAGAGTAACAGTTCTGGAAGTGCCACATTTGTTATACAAATGTTTATTGAGTGCCTGCTTTGGGGACACTACATGAGCAAGATGGACATGGTCCCCACCTTCATGGAGCTTACAGTGTAGTGAAGACAGGCAGTAAGGGACTCGTACAAATCCAATGTCATGCTTCATTCAGTGGTGATGCAAAGTCGTGTTTGCTATGATGGCAGATGACTTAAGGACCCAATTTAGATTGAGGCCAAGAGAAAGCCCCTTAGGGGGTGTGGTACCAGGGTGACATCTGAGGGGTGAGGAGGAGTTCATCAAGCCAAGTGCATAGAAAAGCATTCTAGGCAGAGGGAATAGAGTGGCAAAGAACCTGAGTCCAAAAATAGTGCCCAAGGAACAGAAAGGTGGGTGCTGTGATGGCCCTGGGATTGCACCAGAGCACATGTGCACGGAAAGGGTCTGATCTGATCTCTGTTCAAAGATCTTTCTAGTTTCCGTGGGAGGGGTGGACTAGAAGGAACCAAGAGTGTCAGCGTGGCAATGTGGGAAGTTCTTCCTCTAATCTAGACAGAGGTGATGGTGGATTCGACAAAAGTGAAAGAATTAAGTGAGGGAAAATGGATAGTTTCAAGCTATGCTTTGGAAGTAGAATAGACTAGATCTAGGGGTCCATAGATTCTGGGAGCTGAGGAAGAAACACTATAGATTCTTTGGTGCATGTTTGCATGGCACAGCACCTGTGGTGTTGGGCACATAGTAGGTGCTCATAGATCACTTGATGAATGAGTGAATGAATGAATGCACGACTTAAGGCTGGCCCTCAGCTTTCTGGCACGAGCAGCAGGGTGGCTGCCGTTGCTATTTAGTGAAACAAGGAGGGCTGGAAGCTGTTGAAGTGTGGCCTCCGCTCTGTATTTGGTACATTTGACATGCCGCCCTGGCCTTTGGGCGCACAGATCTCAGGCTCCCATGGTGCTTTTGTGACATCTGTTCTCTCTAGAATCAGGAGGCAAGGTCATGACTGAAGGGTCAATTCGGGTGGAGAATCCTCCAGGTCAGCGAGTATTTACCTTTCATGCAGTGTTTGGGAAAAGCTGCCTTATGGTGCCTAGAATTTCTTCCCTCCTTACTAGGGCTGTGGCTCTTCCTAATGCACTGGGGACAGTCCCGGCCTCTGCTTCAGCCCCAAGACCCCCAGAATCTGTCCTCTTGTCTCTTTTTCTAGAGACACACTCCTAAAGAACCCCAGAGTATCCACTGACCTTCCACAGTTCTGGGTTCTGATGGTGCCTCTCTGCCTTGCAGACCTGGCCGCCTCCGTCCGGTTGGGCGGCTTCCCCCAGCAGCGTCGGGCATCGTGAGCTTGAGCCAGCCCCAAGCCCGGCTTGTGGCTGTGGGCCGAGCCGTTTCCTCCACTGCAGGTGAGCTCAGAAGAGTGGCAGGAAAGAGGGTGAGTAGCTGCCATCCTGGAAGGTGTGGCCAGTGCCTGCCCTTGATGTCACCTCTGGAAATTTTCCCTGCCAAGGGTCCACTTGTGGAGCCGCATTAAGAGCTCATAGGTTAAGCCTGGGTTGGAGCCCTGGTTCAGTCATTTACCAGCAGAGTGACCTTGTGCTCAGGCCTCGGTTTTATTTTCCTCACCTCTTCAGTGGGGTTAATCAGAGACTGACCTATTAGGGGCACCATGTGTTTAAATTGAGATTCACACACACCCAGTATTTTGGGCCTAATCATGTTATGTAATGAGCTGGCTTTATGCTTTGAACAAACCTGTGCCATGAGTCTGATTATTGCCCCCACTTCACAGATGGGAAAATTGAGCCTCAGAAAGGCCACTTGCCCAAGATCCCAGAGCTAATAAGAGGTAGAGACAGGATTTGAACTGGGCAACACAGTTATAATGTCTTCACCCCTTTTATCCCGACACAGCCACTTCCTAGAGATTTGTTGCCTATAATTAAAATGTCTGAGCAGATGGTCACTGACATATTTGGTCAGTGGGGTGTCCTTCCCTGGCCTGTCTGTCTGTGTGTGTCTCTCATTCTCTGTCCCCACTAATGTGTTTGATGCCACACAGTTGGTGCCTAAAGAAATGTTTATGGAAAAGAGGAGAGAAAGTGGGAGTGGGGGTGGTGAGGCAGGGGAGGCAGGAGGAGAGGGAGGGTGGGAGGGAGGAGAGGCAGCCTACTGTCCCCCGCCGTGGATGCGCACGCAGAAGCCAGCCTCAGGGACCAAGTGCAGCAGAGACAGTCAGAGCCCCCGCACCCCCTGCACACACGTTGCTCAGTCTTTTCCTCACACTGGGGCGTGGAAAATTCCCACATCTGCTGTGGCAAATTATGTAACCGGCCAAAAGGGAAGAAGAAAAAGGGTGAGCAGCCTCCCGCTTGCTGAGCTGCCTTTGTTCCCTGGTCTGCGGCTGAGGGGCAGGGTGTTATTGCAAACAAAGCTGTTGTTATAGCGCCTGATTTGCACAGACTCCCGTTATTCCGGCACCCCTGCGCCCCACACAGGGAGGGTCCCTCACAGGAGGTGAAGTGGAGCCCACCCCCAGCTTGGCCCTCTTAGGGCAGTGCAAGGGGCAAAGGGCGCTTGGGGTCATTTCACTGAGCGGCCCTGCGCACATACAGCGCTGCAAAGGGCCAGTGCCAGGGAGCCGTAAGGATGGGACCAGGTCCACCTGGCTCATGGCTTTGTCCTCCACGTCTGGTACACAGGCCAGCACACAGCTGGTGCCCAAAGAAGTATTTATGGAAAAGAGGAGAGAAAGAGTGAGTGAAGTAGTGAAGCAGGGGAGGAGAAAGGAAAGGGCGGTTGGTGGGAGGAAAGACAGACGGACTAGCCAACACGGGCTGATACAAGGAGGTTCAGCGGGCTCAGCGCCGGCTTCAAATCCCATCTCTGGCATATATTGTGACCTGAAAGCAAGTGGCATGGCCAGGACTGGAACCGAGCTCCCTTCCACCTCTGTGCCAGTTTTCCACTTGTAAAATGGTCAGGTAATAGTGCTCATCTCACAGGGTGGACGAGGACGGAATAAGACAGCAAATGTAAAGCAAGTCCATGACAGGCACTTGAGTGAACAGGGCCCACACTGGAGGGCTCCGCCTGGGAGCGCATGGCTGAGGCAGCAGCTCTGGGGCTTCAGCACCTTCTCTGGTCCATGCTCCTTCTCCCGCCATGGACACGTGGCCAGTGCCTCCCAGCCCCTGGCAGGGCCCCCAGCTCCCTGGGACTCAGGAGGAGCCTGGAGTCGGCACCAGCCTGCCCAGAGTGGTGATGAATAACTTGTTTATCTGCTCCCACCCCTCTCGGTGCCTGGCAGGCAGAGGCCTGGAAAGGGTAACTAGCTGGGGGAGGGGCTGGGGACAGAGGAGGTCTGGCTCACCAGTCAGCCCAGGGCCCTTCCTCTCTCCGTCTTCCCGTCCGCCTTTTCAGACCTACTGTGTTCTAAAGCAATCCACCCCACTCCTCAATTCAGCATCCACCTCCACCTCGAACTGCATCCTGAGCTCCTTGCCCAAAGTACGTTGTTTTGGAAACCGCAGGTTGAAATGCAGGCTGTAAACTCAGGCAGATACGGGTTTGACTTCTGGCTTTGGACATGACACTAACCTGAGCCACAATGTCCCTGCTTGTGAAGTTCAGTTACACTGCCTACCTTCCTTCGCCCTTGGGATAACCTTAGGGACCATCTAGCACACCCCTCCCAAAGTCTCCAGAGTCTGCTTCCCTGCTTACACGCTCCTTTATGAGCCTTGCTCCACCCTAGAAGGGGTCTCCAGTCCCAGCTGGGTAAGTGTCTGAGCAGAGTTTGCCCAATACTGGCAAGTCTGCCCTCCTTTCCCATCATTCTTCCTCTCTTCCATCCATCTTTCGTCTCCATAAGTGCTGTAGCTCATAGTTGCTTGGGTCTTCTCTTCAGTGGAGAGGGCCGCCCTGTCCCAGGTCTGGGAAGCTGCGAAGCTCCTCCCAGCAGAACAGAAGCTAGGCCCAGCCCCAGGAAGAGTTCAAAGCTGTACTCAGCAAGGGAAGGGACTTCAAGATCATTGAGCGCTCCCCAAAGGCATCTTCTGTAAGTGAACATCCATCCTCTTGGGGTGCTTAAGGCAGTGGTGCTCAGCCCAGGGGACATTTGTATGATCACCTCTGAGGGGAGGGTGCTGCTGGCTCTAGTGGGTAACTCCCAGGAGTGCTGACCAGCACCCTGCAGCCCGCACCCCAACAAAGGATTATCTGGAGCAAATGTCAGTAGTGCCAAGGATGAGAAACCCGCTCAAGAACAAGGAGCATGCTGCCCCAGGCTCTTAGGCTGTTCCATTTAGGGGCAGCTCTCATCAACTCAGGAAATTGTTCCTCAGTCCTCTTATCCAGTCAAGTAATCACCAAGTCCTATTGATTCCAACCCATATTATTTCTCTAATCCATTCTTTCTTACCCTTCCCCGTACTTCCTCTGGAGTCGGGTCATTACAGAATAACCTTCCTGTCCACCTTTTTGTTTCTGGCAAGCCACCCTCTTCACCCTATCTGATCATGCCACTTTCTCATTCAGATTTCTTCAACTGCCTCCCTTAACTTAAGCACAGGTGTAGGATGGAAGCATAGCTGCCCATCATGAGATATTCTAGAAACTTATGAGAGCATTTTTGGTTGTCACAATGATTTGGGGGTGCTACTGGCATTCAGTGTGTAAAGGCCAGAGACACTAGATACCTTGAAACTCACAAGTGTCCCAGGCAGCAAAGACCTTCAGACATTCCATCAGACATTCCAGTGGGCAGAAAACATACTGATCATTATCTGAGACAAGAACCTTCCAGTTTATGTAAAACACTAAGTGTTGGGGTTTTTTTTAAACATAATAATGTACCTGCTTTGATATTTTCACAACAGCTTCTCAACTATCTTTCAGGGGGCTCTGTCTTAAACTGAAAACGTGGTACCTCATGGCAATTGCTTGGATTTCTTCACATTTAAAATCACAAAGCATGTTTACAAATTTAAACATTTGGTGTATACACTAGTTTCAATGCCAGGGCTTGTGGGCACATCTGCTCTTTATTCTTTGCTTCTTGCATTGAATGGCTTCTGATTTCCTTATTTCTCTTAAAGTAAAAACTTAGTATCAAGTGAAAGTATCTGTGGTCCCTTTGTGTCTTCCACAGGCATCAGATGGAGAAGTTGGCTGGTGAAGCATCTGTCACTTTCTTATAAATTGCCTTCCTTTTATTTCTCTTTTATATTAGAGTTAGAGCACCCTATTGATTTTTTTAAATGCATGTAGGTAGGTAACATTAACTCTGTATTTCATTTCAGTATTCACTAAAAGTGGTATTACAAAATATTTTTTTAAAAAGCAGAAGATAATATCTGATAGGCTGAGAACTACTGACCTCATAAATTCTTTGAATAGCATCAAATGGTGGATACAATCACCTTCATTTCTGATTAGTCTCACTGTCCATCTATCTTTGCCAAATCTTAACACTCAGGCAAGAATCTGGTGGGTCCTTAAATATGGACTGCTTATTCACACCTCTGTGTCTGCAGATGGTATTGTCCTGGCCTCAAATGCTCCTCCATTCTTGCTCATAAATATAGGGCCACTTACTCATTCTTCAAAACTCAGCTTATATGCTGCCATGTGGATTCCCTTACGTAAAATTAGGTGGCCCTATCTCACTGTACCTGGTAGAACATAATAGTAATGATAACAGGAGCTACAATTTTTTTTTTGAGAGGGCATCTCTCATATTTATTGATCAAATGGTTGTTAACAACAATAAAATTCTGTATAGGGGACTCAATGCTCAATGCACAGTCATTAATCCACCCCAAGCCTAATTCTAGTCAGTCTCCAATCTTCTGAAGCATAGCGAACAAGTTCTTACATGGTGAACAAATTCTTACATAGTGAATAAGTTCTTACATGGTGAACAGTACAAGGGCATTCATCACAGAAACTTTCAGTTTTGATCACACATCATGAATTATAAACAATCAGATCAAATATGAATATTCGTTTGATTTTTATACTTGATTTATATGTGGATCCCACATTTCTCCCTTATTATTATTATTATTATTTTTTTAAAAATAAAATGTTGAAGCGGTAGGTAGGTGCAAGATAAAGGTAGAAAACATAGTTTAGTGTTGTAAGAGAGCAAAGGTAGATGATCAGGTGTGTGCCTGTAGACTAAGTGTTAATCCAAGCTAGACAAGGGCAATAAAACATCCACGGATGCAGAAGATTTCTCTCAAAACAGTGGGGGTGAGGTTCTAAGCCTCACCACTGTTGATCCCCAATTTCTCACCTGATGGCCCCCCTGCGACTGTGCCTGTCTTAGGTTGTTCCTCCCTTGAGGAAATGTACCCGTCTCTGGCTAACCAGTCATCTTCTGGGGCCATACAGGGAAATGTAAAGTTGGTAAGTGAGAGAGAAGCAATA